AAAAGTGCTGCAAATACTAGCACCAAAAGACCCTTTTCTGATTATGATTTATGTTACAGTTGATCAAAATAGCAATTCATTTTGGCACAGATGTTGTCTGGTTACATGTATGCCTGTAAATGCCACATTTCAGCACATTTTCCTGGAAACTGTTAGGGAATCTTCCTCTCCCCAAACACACGTGGCTGGTTCAGCAATTCGGCAAGGAGAATGACAGGGTTGTCATGACAACCAGCTGCATTCTGTGAGCAAAGATGGTGACAAATGATCAGCTTCTGGATATTTATCACTCCCTGTTGACTAGTGTTCCCCAAATTAGACAGACTGACTTGTTCTGGTGGCTTGTGTATTTGGTGCATTTGTTTCTGAAATAGCATTCATGCTTCTTGCAGTGATGGCCATCATTGGTATGAATCATGAGAGTAGGTGATACTGTTGATTTTGTTGTAGAGCGTGGCAAGTGAGGAGAAGAGTTATCTTTGGAGTCTTCTTTTTATTAAACCCAAGCAACTTACACATTGAGCCCACTACAGAACTAAATGGGATAAAAATACACAAGACCTGTGTTCTTTCTATTGTGCTGTTGAATGCAGAGTGCTCCTTGAATTTTGTTTGTCTTCACTCTTAAGACAACGTGTACTTCCCCTCCCTTCCAGTGCCTGCCTTGAACTTCAGGGTACTTATGGGGTGGGGGAGAAATATGCTTCCTTTAGGATCAAATCCTGGATCTGCTGAAGTTGTTGGCATCTTTTCAATAAGTCTTCAGTTTCTTTGGCTTTCTTTTCCTTTAGTTTTGCTTTTATTTAGAAGACAGAAGGAAAACATTGTTATTTCAAGATTTTGGAACTTCAGAAGATGAAGAAACACTTTTCCCCATCCCTTTCCTTTTTAATGAAACCTTTTTATCCTCCTGTCTTCCCAGTTCCTTTCTTGTGCTTCCCCTTGTTTACCCAGGACACAAGGGGAAGCACACATGTGATATTCTGGGCCAGCTCTTCATTATGCTTCATCCCAACATTGAAGACAGACATCAGATATGAAGCTAGTAGTTTCCCTTTGGTACCCAAACACTAGGACAACATGTTGTTGGATCCTGTTGTCATCCTGTTCTTTGCAATTTTTGACACAGGAAGCTTTGGTGCAGATCTCTTATTACAAACAAGGTGCTTTTGAGTTTGAATTCTTTCATTTATATTGTGTATGCACTGCTGGAATGTGAGTAGTGGGAGGGGCAGAGATTCAGAAGTGGATTTGTAGATTTATTATTGACCAGATTATTCTTTTAGATTTGGAAAACTATGAAAGTGTTCCTGTTTGGACCATTATGCTTCCAGCCTGGACAGTGAACAATGCTTTTCAGTTAATCTTTTTACCGTGGAAATAACACTTTTGAGATGGTGGTAGACAATCAAAGTCTGGATCAAATCCCATGTTCGGATGGTGACCCTTTTCTTTGAAGGATCTTTACAGAAGAAAAATTGTTACAAAACTGTCGTAAGAATTGAGATAACTAAGCTAGAAGTACAAAAAAGGGAGATCTCTCATCTTTATCTCTGTACAGTATGGGTATTTTATTACTTAACCTATTTAGATAATGTAGATCAAATGTTTGCAAGTATTGTTGAGCCTTGCAGACAAGAGGTCTCACTTGGTCATTCTGCTACCAGGCAGTGAAAGGAGCCCTCCAGGAGCCCTGGAAAGACTGAAAATCTGGTGCTTCCACAAACCCAGCAGAGCTGCATTTGCATTATCTGTGCATTCATATCTGCTGCTGCTTTCAAGTAGGAGAAATGAGGCCCATATGTGACAATTAATCCCTTGAAAAGCAAAGCATGTGTCCTTTAAATGATGCAATGATACTGCTCAGATTTCCCTGAATATACTTTCTTTCCTACTATGACTCTACTTCTCTGCTGTCTCCCAATTTTCAAAAAATGTGCTTTTAACCTGTGAAATAACACAGTTAAAATTGTCCTGTGGCATAGGTGCTATTACTATGCACCTCCAAGATACAGAATTTCTAGCACTCTGATGACTTTGTACAGCATTTTTACAGTCTCTGTTTTGAAGTCATGTGTGCTGCCAAACTCAAGCCCTTCAGGACTGCATTTCCTCTTATTCAAGAGTAGTCTCTTTGTTCATAAACTAATGCCCTAACTGTGCTGGTTGGTGGGATTTGTTTTCACCTGAAGAAGACCTGTGCATCCAAAAATACATGTCTGTTTTTCTAAGTACGTCTCCTGGTTCAATACAAAATTTTTTGTGCTAGACCTTTTGCCTTAACTTAAGAGTATTTTTTTCAGGAAGTAAGTTTGCTTGTCCTTTAGTGAACCAGGTTCCTTCATGCACAAGGACCTAAGCAGAGAGACACTGACTCTGGTCTCTGTCCCAGCACCTTGCTTATCATCACCATCAAGTTCTCTTTGAAGTGGAGATAACACCTAGTTGCTGCTTTTATTCTTTTTTTGTTAGTCCAAAATGAGAAAGTTTGTTTATTACTGTCTATTTTAAACTATCCAGTACTTTTTAAATTCAGAGAGGGAAGGAACTCGATTATGTTCCTTCCAAAAAGGAGTGCTCGGATTTGTTATTGAAATGATGTGGTATATCTCTAGTCTTTATCAGTAAAAGATCATGATTAATTGAGCACAAGCACAATGTCATACCAGCTGGGTTTTAGTCCCAGACCAACTTCTGACAATGGTGGGTGGAGTCTTTGGTTTGATTTATGCTGATAGATACAGGTTTTGCTAAGGATGGTGGACAAACCAGTTTTCTACATAACAGAATTTTAGTCATTAGAAAATGAAGCATCTGCTTGATATTCTTAAATTCTGCCTTTGTTAGAGCACCAAATCAGCCCTATTTGAACATTTTACTTCAGTGTAGTACTTTCTAAAAGAACAGATGAGTAATTATTAAATGCTGTTAAATTAAAATATATTGTGTTGTATCTGTGCATTCCTGTTCTTGCAGAAAGTGCCTCCAGAGCTCCTGCCATTCTCTTTACACCTGTGTTTGTCTCTAAATGACTGCCTTTGGTGTCTGGTGAAAGGGATTTCTAGCTGTGCCTGCAGAAGAAAGCCTGAACTAGTTAAAAACTGTTTCAGCTTCATGGCGTTTAGTGTCTCTAACTATGAAATATCCACAAATTACATCAGCAGAGGATGGTACTGACATGGTCAGGAACAGCAACTGGAAAGCTGTTGAGATGCACTGAGATGCAGAGCGTTCTATTTGCATCTGTTGTGATGCCACTGATGTGACCCATACTTGGTGATTGTGGACCTTGCCTTACACAGGGTGCCTGTTCTGAGGAAACTGTTCATGGCATTGCAAAACGATGGAAAAATAAATGTTCTCCATTTGCTGCACAACTTAGTCTGCTCTTAAAGAACCTGCTGAAATGCTTTAGTTTTAATTTCTGTTTAATTGAACAGGAGCTAAAGAGTGATTCAAAATGACAGCAATTTGATAACTATCCTTTCCCCTGAAACAACAATAACATAAATGATAAAAGTACTAGTTTTACCACAGAGCTTGGTCACCAATTACATATGCTCTTCAGTGAATTATTTATGTTGTTTATTACCTTTTCCTTGCAGTAGCATAACACTATTTCCTAGATGAGCCTCAGATAGTAAAATAATTTTAACTTGAAATAAAAACATCATTACAAAATTTCTAATTATTACCCCAGACTTAGTATCTGAACTACTGCTACAGCATGGAATTTATTACTGCTCTATATCAGGTAATTGGCAGAGGCTGACATTTGGAGAAGGGAGTTACAAACAGAAATATATTACATTATGTGGACTTTATCCTGTCTTATTTAGAATACAAAATGTGTTCACAAGGCTCTCCTAGTCAAAATTAGCAGTTAAATATCACTGTGTTTATGGTTTTCTGGGTGTACATGTCTATTGCTAGTTGTTTCAAAAGAGTGAATTAACAGTTTCCTTTTGTATAACAGACTTCATTTTTCTAGTATTTTTGAAGTTTTAATGATACCAGGATGAAGGCCGTATTTTTTATTACTGTGGTTTTTTTTATTACAGGCTTCATGTTTCAGCCATTCAGGCAAAAAATCAGATTCAACTGTGTATTTATTTATTTATTTATAAGACTATTTATACCTTTCAAAAATATCTTTGTTGCTTTTCTAAAGCCTTACCGAGTATTTTTAAATTTGTTCTTTCACTTTAATTTTTAAGGAGAAACAACCAACTAGTTCCCCATTTGACATTAAAAGGGAATGGACATTGCAGCCACTGCCCTCCCCTTGGACTTTCACTTCTGATTATTTAATTTTTTTTCATAATTTTGCCATTCTTCTAAAAATATTCCAATCATCCCCGTGTTGCTGAGTCTCTGAAGACATGAAGCAAAGGCTGCATGGTGGGGTGCAACAAGCGAATTCCTCTCTCCGATTTCTGCAGAGACCAGTTGCAAAGGTTTTTTGGGCAGAAGCCATGTCCCCCATAAGAAGGGACTCTATCTCCAACTCTTAATCAAGCTTTAGGTAGTGGGGGAAAAAATCTGGTTTCCCAAGGGCCTTTCCAGGTCCTGATGGAGGCAGGAAAGCCCAGTTGGTTTTCCTCAGATTGAGTTAGCTTCTTCTTTTAAGTCACATCTTTCATGGTTTTATGCAATCTTCCATTTTGGTCCTCAAAATCCTCTACTGGGTCTCCTTTACTGTAATCTTTGTTCACCAGAATTGGGTCATGCGTCTTCTGTAATAACATCTCCCTGAGTAGCTGGTTTGGGGATCTTCCCCCTGTATGGACTATGAGTTTAAGCATCTGTCTTTCGTGAGATAAAAATCCAACCGAAAAACATCCGTCCTCTGTTTGCGACCCCTCTCTTCACATGACTCTGCCTGCAGAAGACCAGCTGTGAATTTCTAACTCTGTTTCAGCAGTCAGCTGGTGACAGCTCACACGAATCTGAGGTAGCTTTCCAAGCAGCGGATTGCCGATGAGGACTCACCGGCATGTCTGTGCCACTGTGGGCAGATCTGGGATGAGAGCTGCCTGCCTCGCTAGTGACGGCTTTCGTGCACCCTGTGTTTGGACAGGGATAGAAGTTGAGGTGAAGGGTCAGCTGCAGGCTGACTGTCCACTCTCCTGCAATGAAGGTTGACTTTGGACTTCATTGCCAGGGTGTACCTAGGCAGTGGGGCCACCCTCTTCAGTAAGGGCTTTCTCCCTTGAGAAAGAGATGGCTTTCAAAAGTCTGCAGTGTGGTGTGAATCTGCATGGTGCCTGGGTAAAGATATAACTCATTCCTGTGCAGAGTTTTGAATTGGTTACATTTTAAATTAGTTTTTCAATTGATAAGAATTTGTCTCTTTCTTGCTGTAGAAAGACAGCTTACACAGATAATATGAATCAAGGTTTCTTAAGGAAACCCAGTGTCTGCTTTCTCATACAGCTTAGTTAGAGTGCCTCTTTTATTCTAGTTCAGTGTTGTTTTTTCTTACTCCTGTTGCTTTATGCATTTCATATCAGAAATGTCTAACAATATAGCGTTTCAGGGGATCGTGGTTTAATAAATGTGGTAGGTGAACCAAACCCAGTACAAAAGGATACATTCTTTTTGTGAATCGTGCTCTAAAGTTCAGAGCAATGATACTTTCAAACCCAGAAGCTTTATAAGCAATCATGAGGTCCTGGTTCATTGACCTTTCATCAACAACTGCATAAAGAAAGGCATAGAAAAGGCCAGGAGATGCCAAGTAGAATTTCATCTCCTGGGGATGACTTGGAAGGAATCAGAGAAAAGTTCCTGATCACTGCAAATCATTTGCCGCTGAGGAAGCATGAAGGACTTAGTCATCCACAGACCACAAGGAACTATTTCCATTTAATGTTTTTACCTCTAAAACCTTGTAGACATAAGAGCAATTCTCACTTTCAGATTAAGAAGTCCAATGTGATCAGTTTTCTTTCCTACTGGATTTGTTTCATGCACATTGTTTTATGTCATATCAACAGAGTTGGATTGTTGTACAGCTTTGCATAACAAACACGAGGAATGGTATTTCAGTATGAGCACATCCCATCTGTTGCTTTCCTGTTCAGCCATGCTTATCAGATGGTCTGAGGTCAGTCTCTCTGTGAGAGGAGTACCTGCACACCAGCAACATGCCTCTTGTGCACAGGCATATATCACAGGCATTTTGTGTGGAAATGCAGCCCTTTGAAAGTCCTGAGCTATGTTAATTAAAAAAACCCCAAAATTTAATTCCTGTTTTATTTCCAAGCATATGCAAACATATTTTGGTGTATTTATTTTTGTTAATGGATAAGTTTTCAAAGTAAATTAGTACTGCATCCAGGTGGTATTTTCTTACCTGAGTGCTCCCAGATATTTTACATTGTTTCCTTCCAACTGTTTGTTCACATACAAGATCATTTCTTCTTTTCTAACTAAGTGTTGCAGGAATCTTTTTGGTTTAGGTCCCTGGGTTAACAATTTTTCTGCTATTGAGTTTTGTCTGCTTTTACTTGAAAGTAATTCTTTGTTAGGTCTTTCTGGTACTGCATGTCATGACAACAATAAATAACAATAAGCTGGTTCCTCTGCGTGTTTGGTTGATTAGTTTGAAATTAGTAGTTTAATGCAGCCATGGCATAACACTTTCCTGACTGGATATTTGAATAACTGTGTATGCATACGTATGTATGTATAGCAAGGACAGAAGCTGTGCCTACCTTAGGTGAGGAGAATAACATTTCGTGTCCTAGCAGTGTTGAAGTATGGCTGTTTAATTCTGTAAATGGTATGAACCTGAACTACTCTGAAGCTCTGCCTCTCTGCATAATAAAGACTTATTATTTTGCTATCCTGGCATGCATTACCCAATATGTATGTTCTAGGAACATTGGCATTGTTGCGATATTTTGGAATTTTATGAACTGGTTATTTAAACTTATCCAAGGGTATCTGGAGTCACAGATATTGCCACACATACTTCAGTGTATGTTTAGATATTTGATCACATTACTTCTCGCATGATGTGATCAAATTGCAGAAAGTGTTTTGTGTTTAATTTCCTTTTATGTGGTTGAAAAGAGTGCAGTTGAGTTGTTCAGTTGGAAAACAAAAATGAGCAAGGTTGAAGATGAATGTCCTTTAAAACATGTAAGACCTTGGAGTCAGGAACTATGTATTTAAATGCAGTAGAGGCTACAACAGGGGACATTTAGAAGCAGGTGTTTAGAATATTTGAGAACTTCTTGAACTGAATATGTGAATGTTGCTGATTTCAGATATTGGGCCACGGGTGAGACTCTTTATTGAATGTAAGTGGAATTATATTCTCTAGTATTTCTTCTGCAGAATTTGCTTAGGTTATTCATCAAATGGTAAATCAGTAATTTAAGAACTTTAAAGTGATTCTGGGGAAGAAATAGTCTGGTTCGTGCCATGGAGTGTAAGAGTTATTTTAAGTTATCATGCCCTTTGTATGTCTGTTTGTGTGTATGTGCATAAATGCAGGTAGCAGAAATGAGACAGATTCAGAAATAAGCAATTGTGATAAAACACCTAGAAAGAGGCTTGAAGGTTAGACTAATAAGGAATTTTTAATTCCAAAAAGAGATTAAGAGCAGCAATATAACAACAGGTTATTTATTATCTGTTGCCCACTGAAGGAGTTTTGAGGACTGTCTTTGAAGGTAAGAAACAAGTTGCTGGACTAGATGAAACACTGCTCACTGGTATGGTGAGCATTGGTATTCTTGGGGGTTTTTCTCACTATCTCAGTTCACTGTGCTGCAGTCAGCCTTCATCATCTCTGCTCAAGTACTTGTGGAAACATCAGTCCAGGAGGTTGCTTGTTTCTTTCTACAGCTCGATGTTCCTTGGAGTCAACCATAGCAGTTGGTTAACAGCATGTACCACAATAACACAAACAAAGCAGTTTATCTGGGAAGTTTAGAAGAGCACTGTCTCCCTTCCCAGCCTCTGGAAAGCATATACCCAGCAGAAGGTAACTGCCTCTGCTGGGGTACAGCTGGTTTGCACAGAAGTGGTGCCCCTGCCTTTCCAAAAAGGCAGGGCATGCTTTCCACCAGTGACATCTCTTACATGCATCTATAATTCCAGGTGAATCTGGGAATGTCTCTAATTGCACTATGAATTGCTGGTGCATTCCTAAATTAGCAGGTTTGTCGGTAGTGCCAGTATTTAATTTCTGCCTTGGCTTTGTGAATGAGTTTTTGATGGTTTCTTTTCTACCCCATTGTAAAACCAATTGAAAACAGTATGTTCGTTTGTGACAGTGAGGGTGTGTGTGAAATGATCACTCAGTTCTCATGTTCTTGTTGTTTAGAACAAGCAGTCTTCTAGATGTTGAAAGTCAACCCGGTGTGGTTTGGTTGGTTGGTGTGGAGGGGTTTCTGTTACGGTAAGCTGACTTTTATGAGGAGAAATACATGCTCATCAATACTGCTGCCATGCATTGAGAAGGGAAGGTGCTGTGATGAAGAGGATAGAGTACACCACAATTGCCAATATTACTTTCTATGCTGTGACTTAAGGCACTTGAAGCTAAATCTTACTGGAAGAGCTATCTGATGATATTGGATAGTTGCCATATTACAACAGGTCTTCAGTAAGTAGTACCATTTTTTCCTCTCTTTATATGCCAAAACCAGACTTTGTCACATTACTTTGAGCTTCAATAATTTAGTATGTTCTTCTGTTGTTCATTTACACAAGAACTGTACAACAGCAGTACTAGCTGTGCAGACCCATGGAAGAGCTGTTTGTGTCTTTGTGTGATTCTTTTTTTTTCTTCCTGTTCACAGCAGATATATGGAGTGATCATTCATTTCAGACAGACCCAGACTTACCACCAGGCTGGAAAAAAATCAATGACATTGCTGGGATCTACTACTGGCACATACCTACAGGAACAACTCAGTGGCAGCGTCCTGTGTCCATCCCAACAGATCTCCAGGGCTCACGAAAAGGATCTCTTGGTTCCATTACTCCGTCTCCTACTCCAGAAACTGAGGTAACATACTGTGTCTTCTTGTGGGCTGCATACTGTAAAGAAACTTGAAATAACTTTTTGAACTTGCAGGTTTAACTGTTAGCTAAACCAACCTGATAATGTCCCAAAGTGTAGCTACTTTTTGATAATGCATCGTAAGTATGTATTTTCTGTGTTCATTTTGTAGTGGTTTTGCCTCATAAAACACCGTAAACTTTGGATATGTAGGATGAAATCAAACATGTCTCAGATAAGTTAGGCAGTGACTGATGAATGAGTCACTGATGAATGTGAAACTTATGCAGTTCTGTAGCATATGCTGAAGCATTGCTGCATTATTTGGATACAGGATACATAAAACTTTTGAACATTATAGTAGTCTTTTGGCCAAACTCTTTGTTGGCATCTGCTTTCTTTTTGGTTCATTTGGTAGGAGTATCACAAAAAGACATATGAGTCTTCATTTGAGACACTAGTTCCTTTACAGCGTGCTTTCTATTGAATAAACATGAAGTGTTCTCAAGTGTGAGTCTCTGTACATCCTACCAGTACAAAATATCTATCAGTGTGTTGCAGTCAGTCTTTAACTACAAACAGAAAAAAGTGCACACTCTCCTCCACACGTGCTGAAAGAGCAGGATGTGATACTGCCTTTTAAAATAATCCTTTCAGGCACAATCCACAGGTTGGTTTGGTGTCATGTAAGTAGAAAAATAAAATCAATTATCATAAAGAAGAGTATGCTACAAAAAATACAATCACTTTGTTTTAGTATGCTGGGGAGACATCTGTGGAATTAAATAGTAATATAAAATAAATTTGGTGTTAAATTAATTATTTTTTATACTAACTTTTCAGGAAAATGTCTGCAGCTTTATGAAATCAAGGGAAGTCTTTGTACTGGCTTTGAGTTTTTGATCAGACAATCCTTAGGGGTTTGATTTTTAATTCATTTAGATACAGCATTTCATCTGTTCTTGATTTTGTTCATATGTGCACCAAACTAATTTAAATGGAAGTTAAGAGGTGTTAAGGATGTTCAAGTATGTATTACCATCTTGCCTCTGAAACTTTTATCTTTTATAGCCTTAAATACGCACAGTCTTGTTCATTATTTTAGAAAGATTGCTCCAACATGTTCACAAATGTTATTCATAAGACTTGCAACTTGACCACCACATTTCAGTTATGGTTTACATCAGTCAAGCTCCCATGTAATGTACTGTGCACCAGGCATGCTGGAAGTTATTTCTGAGAGGATTCATGGAGAAAGAACTGCAACTGTTACCATTCCAGTACAAGAAAACAAGAAAAAATCTAGACATGCTGAATGTAAAATGCTGCACGTTTCCAGTATAAATTCCTGTGATGTACACAAGAGGGATATAACTTTACCATTATTTTTCTTACTCTAAAATGTGGAGAATAGGACTTTAATTAGTAAGTTATAGATGCTTTTCACAAGACCCCAGAAATTAGGATGGTTTGTAAACTGCAGAGGAAAAACACATATTTTCATTTCAAATATTTTTTCTACTTCTGTTTAAAATGTCTTTACAATTAAAAATTCAGACCTGCTGGTAATGTATCAAATGTACTTTTAGCCTTTCACAATTTTGTTTTCTTTAAGTGAATAATAGTTTGTGATTATAGGTAATGATCATTAGTTCTCAGCAGCATCATGGAGAATACAAAATGTATGAGTTGGTTAGAGCATTGTGCTAATAACAACACCTAAGTTGTGGGTTCAGTCCCTGTATGGGCCAATCACTTAAGAGTAGGACTCAATGATCCTTGTGGGTCCTTTCCAACTGAGAATATTCTGTGATTCTGTGAAACAGATTTTAATACAGTATAGATATATTAAATAAGACATGTATGTGAGTACATAGTACGTTCACCTAGGTTTTGATATGGCAGTTCCAGTCCAGCAAGGAATTTGTTCCAGCAAAGATTTAGGCAGTTCTGTGGCACCATCAAGACCATATACTGTGGCATAAAAGGACGGTATGGAAAATAAAAACATTCGCAAAATTTGTATTGATATGATATGTTTATTTTTATGGTAGGTATAGACAAAGGTTTTTTGCAGGTTTCTGCATTCATTGATAAGCATCTTAGCATTATTGAAGCAGTACTGGTTTTTTAACTCAGAGGTTACTAAGGTAGAATTGCAATACAGTACCAGCAGACTTACACTAACAGAGTTCAAAACAAGAGCATGAATTGAGCTCTGGACTTTGTCCCCTGCCAAACACAGAAACTGCTACAAAGAATAGGTGTAGCTGGAGTTATAATGGGAACTGTTAGGAAAAGTCTTGCATTTCTTGAAACTACAGGTTTGGAGCTTTATTACAATGGAACTGGAGGAAGAATGCTTTGCGATTCAGCTGGTTCTGAGCAGAACCCCAGTACAAAGTAGTGAGATGAAAATTAATCACAGTGTGTTTTTAAGAGATAGGGATAGGTAATGAAGTAATTTTGACAATATCAGCTGCCATGAATTTTTAGGGTTTTGTCTCTCTGCAGTTGGTACATGCCAGCACTGAATTATCTCCAGGTCACTTGCAGGTGATATTTGTTTCAGTACCTGTTTGCTGCACTGCAGCCTAGCCCAAGTGCTCCTCCTCTCCCTCCCTGTGAAGGATTAATACAGGTGTCTGTGATGTGGTCAATCTGACATTTCACATAAGATGTGGAATTTGATCTAAAACAGGGGCTCCCAAATACCTTTATCCCAGTACTACTACTGGCTGCACTAGCTGTGGTGGAGAGCTTCCACCTCCAAGTTAAATCCACATGTGAGCTATGTACTGCTGGTTCTCTCATTGCTGTTGGAAACCTGTGCTCCAAGATAATCTTTTTGGAGAAGACTGGTTTAGCTCATTCCCCCCATGCTGGAATTTATATTGCTTTATTATTAAAAGGTTGGGGAGTATACAGGTTTTAGGCATATGAAAGAGATTAATCTAGGATTGAAGAGTGGCATGGGTAGCATTTCATATCTGTCCCAATAGGCTTCTGTGAGTCCATAAAAATCCTTTATCTAGGTCACATTTGGCTGTGAATCGTCATGTGCTAGTTGTGAGGTGAGTTTATTTGGGCTCTTTCAGCTTTTGAGTTCGTCAAATAAACATTTAGAAGCACTTTTTTCCTCCACAGTAACATCTTTTTACCCTTTGTCTTGTTTCCTCTTTTTTTTCCCTTCATTTTATTTTCTTGTGTCCCTGTCTCTTAAATAATGTAATATACAGAAGCTTTGCTTCATTTGTTAGAATGTGGCTCACAGCTGAAGGCAGTCCACAAAGAACAGATCAAGTCAGCCATTTTTATTTTGTAGCTTACTCTGGATATTTAGCATAAAGAAAAACAGTTATTACTGTTGAACAGAGAATCAAAAAGAATGGGTAGGACAAATGATGCTGTAATGCATACTGATGGCAAAAAGCGTTCTAAAAAGCAAAAAAAAATGTGAAAATGTCTTACTTTTACACAGGCTGCAAGGCATTTTTTCTTTCACAAGATGATCAGTAAATTTCAATCCAAAGCAATTATGGGTTAAGCATTATGCGAAAATCCTGCTGATTTAACAAAAATGCTAATAAATGCTAAATATTAATAACCTGTAACATTCCTTCCCTTCCTCCACCTCAGAGGCATGAAAATGTATTTTAGTTTTGCACAGCTGTTTAAATTTGACTTAATTTTAGATTAGTCTTTTCTCTTGTGTGTTGCCAAATTACTTCCTTTTTGAGTCCTTGTCTTTTGTAATGTTCTCTTCCAAATTTTAGAATTTTTGCTGCCTCTTTTCCATTTCCTGTGCAGAGAAAAAGCTGTAGGGTTTAAGTTTCAATAAGAGTTTCTTTGAGATTATGTCAGAGTTTGGTGAAGGTAGTTTGTGTCTTATAGCCTGACTCATCCCAGGCCTGGATCACCTCTGGAAGTTCTTCTGTAGTTAACATAACCACTAATAATTAAAGAAAAGGGACTTGGTAGGAAAAGCTAACAAATCAATTAATTTGTAGCATGTTAGGGAAGGGGTACTCATGAGCTGCTTTTCACAAAATAATTCCTCCAACGGGGATATGTTGAGAACACTTCTGAGGTGAGAAGTCTACCCTGCATAATATTAATGGATTGGGCCAAATTAACCACTTCATCTGGGGGCTGAGCTGGACAGCCTGGGAGAACTCATCTTAAAAGGGGAATTAATTTCAGGAATTCTTGATTTGGTGCTCAACAGTCAAATCTCCTGTCCCACCTGGCTTTTGTTCAGGACTGTGGGATTTGTTTCCTGGTGGGGTAGAGGAGAGAGGCAGCTCCAACATCAGCTGTTCCTCTCAGGCTTTACAGGAAAGGCTGAATCTCGGGTTGTTGTAGTGCTAAACGCACTGCTACTTGCTTGATTATACCAAATTTTTGAGAAATTTGAATAGAAAATGAGAGGGTAGGTGCTTTGTTTCGCTTTGGTTTGTTTTTTAAAAAAGCTGCTAGACTTCTGAAAACTACTTTTTCAGCAAGAAATCTCTGCACTCATTACTAATCCTCCTTACCTTCCTTACCGTTTTATTGTGCTTTCTCTCTAGAAATATTTGATTTTTGCCTTGTATGTTTCATATCTTCGTATGTATTGCTGTATTTCAGTATTTCTAGTTCCAGTAATGTTAGGGTCTTTTAACAAAAATGCCATTCAAATGGAAATCCTAATGTTTCCCCTTAATTGCTGTTTATCAAAGGCTGTAGCAGCTGTGGCCAACATTCATATTCAGATTCATTTTGCTTGCTTTTAAGATCATAGTTAAAGAGTAATTTCATTGTCTGTTCCTAATTTATATTAACTTTCCTTGTTTCAATCATTTGTTTTGGTAAGTAACTGTTAGAGGCATGTCTTCTCTCCCCTTTCCTCCAAATGCCATAGTATAGTGGAGTAAGTAGTTGAAGTTTGAGGTGATCTGTTCCCTAACCCATCTTGTAAATATCAATGCTAACAACAGTGTCTTGTGTTTTTTTTTCTTTTTCTTTTTTTTTTATCAATGTGCTTCTTCCTGTGTGAATAATTATGTGTCTAGAAACAGCCATGGAGTGATTTTGCTGTACTGAATGGGGGAAAGATTAATAGTGACATTTGGAAGGCAAGTATATTGTCAGATTTTAGAACCTTTAATACTATTACCCTTGTTTTTTGCATGGCAGTGGCTGTTTTTTTCCCCTTTTATTTTTCCATGAATGTCATTCATAACCTAGGCCGAAGTGAATGGGGGTACTGCTAGGGATGTCTAGCTCACAAACATGCTGCCTTTTCTGATCTTTCCACTTGGAATGGATTCAGTCTAAACTAGCAGGGCAACTGCCATGATGTAACAAATAAGATGCCTGCACTGAATGAAATGCAGCTTGAGAAATATATGCATGCCTCTTTTCAACTTCAGCCAGAAATACTATCGCTTCTTTGCAGGGAGGATTTAATTTCCCTTTGAGATAAGAAATAACAAGATGGTGTATTTAATACTACTCTAATAGTATTAAAACTATACTAATAGCACTGCCTCTGTCTCTAGGATCTGCATGCAGCCACTGTGAACCCGGACCCAAGTCTGAAAGAGTTTGAAGGAGCAACATTACGCTATGCCTCTTTGAAGCTCAGGTACAATAACTCCAGTGGAGTGACCAGCTCTGTTTTGTATTGTGCTGTAATTTAAGACTGAGTTTGTCTCTTTTTTTTTCCCCCCTCTAACAGAAATGGTCCTCAATCTGATGATGATGATTCTTGTAGCATCAACAGTGATCCAGAAGCCAAGGTCTGTAAGAAAATCTGCAATAGAATAACAATTAAAATTTTTGCAGTTGTAAACGTAAACTTGCAAGGTGCAGAATGTCTCCTAAGTTTTGAAATTAACTGTACCCCTCCTCTTGGTACAATGTGGATTGACCATGCATGACTAATTCCATCAAAGGAATTTGCAGATTTAAAGCTATATTTAGTTTGGTCAGGAAAGTGTGACTTATTTTAAAATTACGAAGGCCAGGAAATTGGATTGTAGAGCTCAAGATTCTACTGTCCAACTATAATAACTGTCCTCTTGCACAACTGAGTTTTCCGTTCTGAGTGAGAGAGGGCTCTGTTGCTTGTCATGGCTGGATAGCTTCCTGGGGCATTCAGTGACAGAATTTGCGCTTTAATTTCAAGTTTGTCCCTTTTTAAAGTACTCTTCCTTTTTGATGTGTCTGCTTCAACTTGCACCTAGTAGGAAGTTACTTTTTAGAACAAGAAACTTTGTATTTTAGAAGACAGAATGCAACCTATTTTGAGAATGCAACTCATAAAGAAAAATTAGATCATTATGTGACCAAGCACCATAATTAGATCAGAGCCTTTACTGTTGTAATCTAAGGGTTTTGAGGATAAAATAGCAGCAGAAGGTTTTGAATGCTTGCATATATATTTCAAGACAAGATTTGTCTTGGTAGTTCTGCATTGTACTTGCATCCATTTTTAAGGATGTATGTGAATCTCTGTAATTGGAAATCCTGATAATTTAAATAAGTGTTTTGGCTGTGCCATACACCTGCAGTGACTGACAGAATCAGAACTGAGCACTGAAACATTCATAGAAGTGACTGAGAGGAGCGAGACAAGAAATAGAGGAGAAACTATACATGTTTTTGGCTTTTTTAAAATCACTTGAGTCATAGCATCTTACCTGCTTTCTACCTGATGTGGGTGTTATGCATGGGCAGTAGCTGACTATGTGTGGCCCTGCAGGTGAAGCTCAGCAGCACTGATGTTGCTGTGCAGTAGGAGAGGCTGAGAGCAGAGCTGTTTAGTGCATCTACCTCTGCCCTAAGGACAGGACAAGCACGGCCATATGTCACAGGGACAGGAAGTTGTCCATAAACAGCAGGGAAAATCTTCACCTGTTGAAAATGCTCTGGGATCTTTAATTCTCACGTGAATGGGAAGGGAGCGGGGTAGGTGGATTCCTTGCTAGTCCCATTTTACCCCAAATATTGAGAGACTGCAAGAAGTCATAGGATTTGAAACTGATGATTTGGAAAAATCAGATTTTTTTTTTTAGCCCTTTAGTCTCTCCACTGCTGTATTAGGTGCCTTAACTATCTTTGATTGAAGCTTGCTTTTGTGTGGTAGCAAGCACAGGTACTTTTTCTTCATTTCAGCATAAGAGAAAGCAGCCTTTTTTCAACTCATTAAACTATCTATTAACTATCTAACAATTAACTATTTGTTAAATTGAGCCTTGTTAGATGTGTGTTAGAGATCTAAAACCTATTTAAACTAATTCATGACATTTGCCAATACTTTTTTTGGGAGGGGGTGAATAAAAAATTTCTCTATGGCAGAGTAATGCTGTATTTCAGCAAAGGGAACTGTGCCACCTTGTGGAGAGCTGTAGTAGTTGTCTTCACCCAGGGTGTCAACTTCTGTGAAGACAGTAGCACTGCAAAAGCGTCAGCATGGGAAAAGCATGCCATATAATTCATCTAATTCTTATAAGAAAAGTGATTTATGCAGCAACACAGTTAAGCATTCAAAGTTCTCATTAAAGAACAAATGTTTCTCTAGACATCATGTGGTTAAGATGCAGTTCATAGTTTCATACCCTGGGCATCTGGTCAGGTTGTCTGTACAAGGTCATAAAGGAGAAACGGAAAGAGGAGAATTATTACATCCAGCTTCTTGATTTCAGTAATTCATTTTGATAGGAATTTCTTTGAAGAGATGGCTCATTGCACTTGACAAGGATCCTAATTCTGCATGTGAAACATGCACAACTAGAAATGAATTTTGAATTGGTACTTCCCAGGAGACAGATCGTAACCTTCCTAGTTAATTTATAGAGCAATGTGTGCCTTCCTAATTGAGTTTCAAGGAAGGTAAAAAGATGCTTTTACCAATCCCGGACTGTAAATTCTTCTGTGTTGTCTTTTTTTTCATTGCTGTAAAATGTGATGGCTGTGTGTGAAAGTATAGAAAGGTGCTGAGCCTTACGGTTTAACCAGTTGGACTTTTTAGAGTAATGTGAGGGCTGTTTTTGAGAAGCTGACTTGTGACTGTTACGAAGTGGCTCGTAAATAGCACTGTCGAAATAATTTTACAAAGTACTTATATGCCCCCCAAGAATGTAATATCCATATCTGCTTTTCTTGCTATGTAGGCAGGTATTTGTGTTTTGGAGGCATTCTACATTTGCTTCTTTCTGGTCTGTTCCAGAAGTAAATATTCTGTCTAGACACAGGGTCATTTGTAAATTATCAGCTTGGGGATGGACGTGAATCTGATTTCTGATGCAAATGAAGACTTAACTGGAGAGAAGTTTTTGCCATGTCTAGTAATTCCAAGAAAGGATTCTTTTCACACTGAAGTACATAATTTTCTCTCAGAATCAGAGTAGCTTTTAAAATTCTTGGTGTAAACAGGGAGTATTCAGCATTTTTAAGCAGTTTTACCATCAACCTCAGGCTGCATATAGTCTTCTCATGAGCACATGAAATGCTGAAGAAAGTCTCAATTCAATTAATGGACTCAAGTAAATTAATTAAATCTGAGGAGGTTATTCCGTCTTAAGTCTCTTTACAAAAGTAGATTTAATCTAAAAGAGAAATAGGGTATCTTCAACATTTTTTCTTCTGAAATGTTATTTCTGCTTGGATTTTGGAATAGGAATTTGTGTCGTTCAAAAACAATCTTTGATTTTCATTCCATAGGAAAGAAACCTTGAACCCATTCCTTTACTCTTATAGAGAACCACAGTATATGATCCCATGTGTTAATTACAAATTTCTTCTTAAGCTTTTGGGAGGGGAGGGGGGTCTGCCTTGACTAGTCTTAACTGAAAAACTAATTCAAGTATTACCTTCCTTTGATGGTCAAAAACCTTTTAACTAAACTTTTTAGACCATTTTTTTGTCCTCTTCTGTGTTTAGCCATCTACTCATGCATTTATAGAAGGCCATTATGTTTCTTCTTCAGCTTAGTTTTATTAAACTTAACAAGCCAAGTGCTTTTAATTAGTCTTAATGAGGCTAGGAGGGTTGCCATCTCCTTACGAGTCCCTGTTTTCCTGATTCTTGTAACAGCTCTGTGTTTTCTGTCTTTAATTTTTAACCGTAGGCAATCACATTTGTTACTTTGAGTGGTGTTTTTCCAGGGTAGCTTAAGGTTTTTCCAGGGTAGTTTGTAGGGTAGCTTAAAAATGTCCTTATTCCTTTTTGGAAAGTTCTTGACCATGATTGCTTTTACTTTTTCAGCTCCTAATTAGGTAATCATTGTGTTGCAACCTAAGCCATAATTATAACCAGTGTTTATAAGAGTGAGAGGAAATAAAATTCTGATCTTCATCTCGATAATTTGAATAGTACCTTGGTCAGGAGGGAGTAGTTACTTGTTTTGTTTTGTTTCTTTCAAAGAATTTTATTGCCAGTAGCTGAAAGTTTCTTGTGAACAGCAGATTTCTGTATTTTGGGGAGTAGCCTAAACAGTGTGTGTGTAGTTCTTTGTAACACTAAGCTACTGCTGATAGTAAACTAAAAACTCTCTTTGAAGATAATGATTTTTGCATTGATGAAATGCTATAGAAATGATTTCACAAAATGCAGGAAAGCAGATTATGCTCAGTGTTCATGAATTTTACTTAAATTATGTTTTTAAGTATTTTAAAATAACCATAGAGTAAGAATTAAGTAGTTTTTAAAAATTGTTGCCTCTTGGTAGGCTTTCAGAGGGAAGAATGAAACCCTGGGAATAAGATCTTGGGAAAAAAAACCAACCAAAAACCCAACCTAAACCCAAAAAAAGCACTGTAGTGGAGCTTGATGTTAGGGATTTCTTGTTTCTTTCAAAGATGAAAGGATCTGCTTAGTTTCTTCCCCCTCTCAGCAACCAGATAGTCATTTTAGTAGCTTTCAAAATTATGAGTCAAAATATATATCTTCTGTTTGAAACATCCAGTGAATAATCAGGAAAAGGTCAGTCTTGATAATTACTATGATATAGCAAAAGTTTTTCCAGCATTCCATCCTTGCAGCTTCTGGGTAGCAATGGTGAGTGATGGAGACAGCTGTTTCTAAACTGGTTGGTTGTTTCTGAATTTGGCTTTTTGCCATTAGCAGCATTAAGACATCCTCCCAGCTATAGAGAGGTTGCAGGTGAATGGTGCAGGTGCTTGAAGATGTCCTGCTTCAAAAACAGTTAAATAACCAACTAAAGCACTAAAATACATATCCTTGACAATTTGTTTTTTAGTCTTTTTCATTCTGTGCACTAGACCTTTCAGAGAGTATGTTTGCTCATTCTTTATCTCTCTGTGATTGATAGTCCTTCTGACATCTGTTTTGTCATTAGGTGTTAAGTGCTAATGTCATGGTGTGATGTACATCATCATACAGATTTCCATCTAGAGGATATTTGCTTCTGCCTTGTTTCTAAATGGAGTGTAGTTTAATCAAATATGAAGATGAGTCCAGGGCAGAGGAATTTGTAGTGTTTTCCCAAATCTCAACTATTTACTTTGTTCATGGCATACAGAGTTACAGTATGTTTATTTGTTATATTATATGTAAAATATAAATATCTGGGATAATGTAGCTTAATTTCTCAAACCCTTCCAGATTATAATTAGATCCTGCAAAATGTTGCAAGTTTTTCTCTCTTAGAAATCCCATAATCTCTGAGATCTGACTAGATGTGAACCTAACATGCAGGATCAGTACATGAGTGACTAAACAGTAGGAGAGATGTAGAGGAGAGATTTTACTTGTAGCCTTCCTTAAAAAATATATC